ACCTAGATATATCGGATTGCTGTGGCAAAATGGGAAACATTAAGCGGCGTGATTTTGTTTTTGGCTGTCATTGTACAATCAAAACAATAAAATAACGAAAAGCTATATTCAAGAGCTTGTAGACCCCAAGAAGCAAAGAAAGTTTTGACTACCTATCAGCTTGGTGATTACATATTTGACCCTACGAATAATGATAGCTATAAGTTTAATATAGGTACGCATTAGCGTGTGGGCCATCTACAGTAACTCCACATAAACAGTATAAAGATACCATACGTTCAACCTGTTGCAAACATTACATAACTTTCAAGCAATCTTTCGAGACACCGGAATAATTTCTTCAGCCAGATCTGTTCACCTTAACCAGTTAAGATGATCTTAAAAGATCCAAAACACTGAGCTATCAACATCAAGGGAGGGAGTAACTTTTGCGGCAGTATAAGTCTCCTAAAGGCAGTGTCCAAGCAAATTCCGATTAATTTCCATATTTTCTACACTGGTTGAGTGTGCTGAACATGAATATCAACTCCAATTGATGTAAAATTGTCAAATAACGAGATTCCGGGCTCTTTTTTGATCGATGGTGAGCCGCAGCGGCGCGATCTCAAGTTGTTTCTAAAATGACCGCAAATTCTCACTAAAGACCATTTCTAGCAAAAGAAGCCAAACACGACCAGTGCTGCGAGGGAACGCTTTGTGAGTTGTGCATGCTAAAAAGTGACCGGTTGGCCTAAACGCGCGAACGATGATCTCGCTTACCACTAAGACCCTAACCGTAGTTGAGGAAGCTTAGTTAGAGAGTCAGCCATAACCTGATCGGATCTCGAAACCCTCAGTTTAACCTGAATACTGCCTTAGGTTATTCTATAAATGTTAAAATATATTACATATAGATATGCAATTTACATTTGATGGAGTGCCACTTCAGACAGATTTAAAATAACTGATGTTCATAATACAGAAACTGTGATAGCTTATGCGGGCGGTACAGATGCTGAGTTCAGATGTGATAAAAAGAGATTTGATGTGCATTGCAAGTTCACGGCAACTCCTGCTATCATTCATCTAAAGGTAAAACGATAAATATCCATATGATCTCCTATTTAAGATGAGACTCATACATTGCGATTCTGATCAAACCCACAAGGGCATGATGTCAGGTCAGCAAGGTGGTTTGTGACGCGATGCATCATTAAATACAGCATGAAATATTGATCCAAACTGCAGTCCAAACATATGAAATGATTCTCTTGAAAGAGCTAGAAAAGTTCTTCTTCAAATATC